TGCTGTAGCTTTGCGCTTAGAGGAAGCGTAAGTTAGGTCACCGACCTTTCGTTCTATATTTAGAGCAAAAACGATTTTAGCGGATCGCAATCCGATTTTTCCAAGAGTAATTATAGCCTTAACCCAAGGCTAGTTAACGCTTCGGTTTAAATCCAAAACGGACTTTATTTTTATTATCTGCGGCAGAGCCGCCTAATTTTAAATGCATAGATTTTTTAAATATGAATAGTAAAATCTAAATACATGTAAAACTACTGGCTATCCAGTCCCGTACCGTATTCTTGTTTGGGTGTGGTCACACCATACCCATCTGGTGTGACACACACATGTTACCAGGTGTAATCCCGTTAAACTCTCCCCCGTTAAGATTGAGAATATTTACAGTTCCAATCGATGATTGCCTCAACGAGGCTTGCGTGGCTGTTTGACACTGCGTGGTATGAAACGACTTCCGTGGTCAATGAGCCCTGTGTCAACGACACCAAATTCTCCAAGTCTCGCTGCTTCCGACAGCGCGCACGGGCAGAGCCTAGCTTCATCTCCCGCACTTGGTGCCATGTCGGACCGTGTCCCCGCGGCATCGAGGGGTGTAAATCTTAGGCTAGATGATCCCGAGCGTCGCGCCTCGCGCATGCTAACAATGACGAGTGACCTCGTTGTGGATGTGGAGATGGTCGACTACGAGTCTGGCAGTCCTTTCCCGGACGGAATAACGAGGAAGGCGAGCCGCACCAGCGGTGTGAGACGAGCCCTGCTCGCGCCTTGTGGACCCCATGTCCGTTTCCTGACTTCTCGTCACCTGAGGAACGTGGTGTAATCGCCAATGACCTCGATGAGGCACACAAGCGGCAGCTGGAAGCTGCCCGTAAGGCGACTCTGATGCGCGCCTATCCACGGTCGGTCATTGAACCTCGTGGGGAATATGGCTTCCGCCCGGCGAATTTCGCTATGGAAGCGAAGGACGTGGTCATACGATCGTTACCCCTCCACATCATCGGGCCCCCGGCCATTACGAAAGATAAGCTTGCCTAACGGAAAACTCTTCGAGCTCGATCCTTGGCCCCACAAGAAATTCCGTTAGAAGTTTATCACACTCGTCTATGTGCTCAACGAGGTGGTTCTCGTGTACCCGCAATGCTGACGATACCTGTAGTGCTCGCCCCTGGCGAAAGCACTACAGAGGACAAAGTTTTTTTTGAGCGATGGGTGCAACGGCACCGAGAACTTTCCTGACTGTATGCCTTACAGTTGAGCCACAAGGAAGTGGGCGTGCGTGTGGAGCGCCACCTCTGCTTTGAGTTTGCCAAACTCAAGGCACGCCGACGACTCCCTTCAAATTGTCGCCCTGCGACGTATGGGTCAACCCCTAACGCTCCCGCAAGCTCTGTGTCTGGACCGCAAGAGCTCAGGGCCACCGCTTCAGCTCAGCTCATGACCCTTCTACCTCCTTGGATATTTGCTGGGCAGCGTGGAGCGTCCTGATCGTTCTGATCGTTCTGATCGTTCTGATCAAAGTGTCCACAGCGTCTGGGCAATCTTGCCGAAGAGGGGCCTCAAACTCCCACGAGTTGTCAGAGTCGAGATATTCCCACCATTTCACCAGATACTGGGTCTGACCCTGGTGACGACGTCGTCTCACCAGATGTTCTACGTTATCGTGGACGTGACCATTCTCATCGAGAAGAGTCGGTGACGGGCGGTGACGACCGGTTCGACCGTCGTCCGGGGGCTCGCGATGCTCTTTGAGCCATTGAGGATGAGATTCTTCGTGATCGGAGCTCTGCTGAGCGTCATGCTGGAGTAGCATATCACTGTGCGGACGCTCTTGATGATTTGGAGTGCGTCGTGCACCGGCTGCCCCGCTTTGAGGACTTCCGCGCTCTGTCAAAGCGACTCCATGCCGTGAAGCAGGGGAATGTGTCTCTGCAGGCAACGGTGGGGCGCTTGGCTCCATTGGAGATAGAGGTTGTTGCACTCAGTGCTCAGAACCAGTTGCTGGTCCAACTTCTGGGGTGCCGAGGGCCCGTGGGATCCGCTCTGGTGTTGCGCCTGATCCCGGTACGGCTTGAGT